TATTATTTGTTTATATATAGATATATATATATATATATATATATATATATATATATATATATATATATATATATATATATATATTTAAGAAGTGTGGATTTAATACAATACGAATGGGTGCCAGTTTGTTATTGTTAGTAGTCGAATTAATTAATTATTTTATTGTTCATTTCTATGACATGATATTGAGGGGATTAGTACAGACTATGTGGTTACGGTCAACTACAATGTCAAGTTGGCAACTTTGATAGTATTTTCTTTTCATCAATATATAATTTAAATCACACATTCAATTACAGTAAATTAATATCATTTGTGTCTAAATTCAATAACATGCAAATTCGCATGAGGGCATCCTACAGACTCCCAGGACTATATTACGTGCCAAATCGCCGATGCGATTATTTCGCGTTTTGCAATGACAAGGATTATAGTTTACATCGCAGTCTACTGTACACATCTACACAAATGTCTACAGAGTATTAGCTAATAAGGTTATACAAAACACGAGAACACTATAACTATAAGTCGAACAAACAATATACTTAGTAAAAACTAACTACGAACATGGGTGACAAAATGATGCATAATTTATGGCGTATTCAGACGATAATAAAACGCGAAAGATGCAAATGGTCTATAACAATCATTACATATATTGTTACACTCCACCAGAATGTTATACAATGGAAGACGGGACAGATTATCGAGGAACAGTATCCGTTACCATGCCGTCACCAAGTAACCCGGATGGTCCCGGCGACACTTGCATAAATTGGACACCGAAGCAAATCAATGACAACCCTAACACTGGCCTCGGAAATCATAACTACTGTCGTAACCCGGATAATGACCCCCTAGGTCCTTGGTGTTATACCAGTAATCCTAATGCATTATTCAGATTCTGTGATGTTGGAAGTCCTAGTACGTACTGCGGTAAGTACAATGTATTAATTAAGAAATGACATCATTTCCTCTACAGCGCCAACAATTTTATGATTTTGGAACAAAAAAATATATACCGTAATAGCTCAACCTATTAATTCAGAAAGTGACACTAATCCAACTACAGCGTCACGCGGTACAAGGCGAGGACTTTAATGCGACACAGCTGTGCCAAGGCTTCGGCATGAAATATATGAATAAGCCCAATAATAGATTATTCAGAATTCATTATTGATATTATAATATATAGCCAATATTTAAAGAGTGTTAGTAACATCCATCCCAATTAAATGTGTACACAAATCGCGAGAATTCTTGAACGTATAGTCACACAATACAGGATTGCCATACAGACGCGCCCTCTAGCGACGATAGATGGAACGGACGCCATTTGCAATTTGATATTTTTTGTCAATAAAACTGTGTATAGATTATAGTGTTTTTTTATTAAACTAATTGAAGTCATTATGACGTCACAGGTGTTTTGTCGTTAGAAGTCGCAATGTACTAGACATATTAAGCATTTTTAGCTGTACGACTTAATCATGTCCCCAAAATTACTTGCTGGTAGACCAATAATACACATGCTAATTTCGGGTTTTGTGGAGGAGTTCACAACATGTGAAAGACGCTTATTTATGTATAAAAAAAAATTATAATCCATTCATTATGAATTGACGCACAACATAACAATAAGGACATTATTGGTACCAACAAATTGTATATTTATGACAAATAGTTATGAAAGGAAATCAGACATGTCTTGAAGCTATTAAACTTTGACCACATTATATACCTGCGTGGGAATAAACAAACAAAACCCACAGAAATATTATACTGTAATGTGATATATTAATTAATTTTATTTACAATATACCATAGGCCACCGGCTTTAAGTCTCCCAGTACGAAAGAATACATTATACATAGATGACATATATATGAATAAAAAATCACGTAGAAAAATATTTTTTTTTGAGTTAAAACTATGTATATATTTGTTTCCTTTTTTAAAAAAAACCGAAAACATTCAAGTAGATCGTGTTATTTGCAAATGATATAATGGACAAAGTGCAAAAGCACAGCAGCCAATGTCTGTCTATTTATATGACAATTTTGATAGACCAAGAAGTAAGTCAGTGAAGTTGAAGATCATTAATCCTAATTATCATTTGATGAGATTATAATTAAAGACATGTTACATCACGGGAAATGCCTGTTCTATGAGTACACATGTTATTCTTCATTCTTATACACGTTCCTGACAGGCTGGACATAACTTTCAAACGTATTACACTTGGTAACATACACACTCACTGTACAATATACGTCATACACCTTTGCATTTTTGCAGGGGGTGGAGGAGCTGGAGATCCACACATGGTGACGTTCGACGGTAACAGATTTAATTTCCAAGGGTACTGTACATATGTTCTTGTCAGAGACTGCAGAGACTCTGGGTACTCCTCTTTTGAGATAACCTCCGACTTCCGGGGTAAAACAGATCCCATTAAACCGCCCACCAGGATGGTTGATATAAAGATTGCGGTGACTGGAATTCCACGATTAACTCTACTCGAAGATAACTCATATATGGTGAGATATGTTGTTACTTATACTATGTAGCGATGTTTTTTTTACTAATTCAAGTGTAGATACTTGTTGTGGAGTTGCATAAATGATAACGTAAAACAGTTATTTAAAACTTACTTGAGGGTAGAATAAAACTCACATTCTAAAATTAGTAAAGATGGGAAAATGGTGAGGATTACAATCTCTCATACCTTTTTCTGTTGAGTGTTTTGGTAAATTACTATCTGTCGTTATTGTTCAGGTTTTACTATAATTCAACTTAGCATTGATCATTATGTCAATTTTTTATTTTGATATCTTACGGATATCGGTAAATAAAATGTATACAAGCTCGTAATAAGACAAACACGCATCTTTGCAATTGTTTGTGCCCTCTAACGGTAAAGCGCATCTGTGACGAAAAATTACGTAGATGAGAGTAAGCAAGAACAGTACCTTTATTGATCGACAGTTCAAAACAATACATTGAACGGGATTTGCATTGTGCTTGCTAGATTGTGTTATATTTGTAAACTCTTCATGTTTATTGTACACAGGTCGGGACAGAGATATTTTTTAATGGTACCAGTGTGAGCCTCGGAGACGAACTTGGTTCGGTGACATCAGACGGAAACACGGTTACCGTGCAGATAAAAGAGCCGGAATTGTCGATTTCTTGGAACGGAAAACCACACAAAGTAATGATATGGTTAAATGACGAGCAATGGGTCGGTAACATTTGTGGAATGCTAGGAAATGCCGATGGCAACCCTGCGAACGATTTCATCAAACCTAACGGTCAGATTGCATCCGACACTGATGATTTCGGCAATAGCTGGACTGTTCCGGGAAGGTATTCATGATTTCTATTATATTTCTATAATTTTTATTGCTGATGAGCTTATTATAGAATATGCAAATATTCCATCATTTATCAAACAAAACCAATTAATTTAATTTCCAACTGTTCATATGTACAATGCTCAAACTATCAAACATCCAAGATCACATATCCCCCAATACAATCAATGTTGATCTACAGCTAACAGAAATAAACTACACTCCCCGGGGGGTATTTATTGTGTTATTTACAATTTTATCTTTTCACATTTTTACAGCTGTCCACGCTTCTGAGATGAGAGAACACTTAATGGATATACTACCAAGAACGTGAAGTAGCAACAGAAGTCTCATAGTATTTATTTATTTAGAATCCATCCATTCCACGCTTGGCGGACCCTATAATAATTTATTAAGCAATCGATCGTTGTCTGATTATTAGTTCACGCGTTGGTTTGAAAGCTACTAAGGAGCAATGCTGAATGTAATTTAACAGCCTGGCATACTATAGCGACCTAGCTGACACATTCGGAATAGAATAATTTGCTGTGGATAATCTCGAACATCTTTTAAACATTTATAGTAAGTTAATACATACATTACATGCGAAACCAACAAATGTCAACATTAAACATTAGTATTTGTAATTAGAGAAAGTATGACTCGTTGAAAAACGTTTGGATTAATTTATCAATTAACTGATAAAACATAATGTATAATATATATGTATACATTACTTATGTTGATGTAAAAACAACATATACTATATTAGGAGTTCGAACCTAAATTCTTTGTCTTAGCTTACATAATTTCATGAACAATACTTTAACACATACTCTCGTCAGTGAAACTATTACATAATGTTGAAGTGAAGTGCGAATCGTGTCATGTAGCATATATTTTTGTTCATTAATTCATGCATTTAAGTTGTTACACTTAATCGAATATTTACATTTTCATTAGTATTGTTGATTTTGTGGTTATATGTTGCCTCTTTATCGAATAAGTACACTACACCACAGACTTCAGAGATGAGAAATTAGAAACTAGGAGCTTTTCTTTGTTAGCTTTCTGTTTGCAATATCTAACGCACTGCTTAAAATTCACACGACTTTTAATTGAAAATGTTACTCAAGTTGACAAAAATGGCAGATGTACAAATTAATTGCGTGAAATGTTACCATTCCCGGTGTACCAAATTAATTGTTCGTAAATTGTTCCTGTAAGAGCGGTAATGACATTTTCAGACAGATACTTATTTTACGAGCAATGTTTTTAAACTCCATCAAAATCGGAACTATAAAATGTTATTGTCCGCCCATCTGTGCCAGCACATGGTGGCTTCAGAATAATGCAAACATAAAATACAGGAATTACAAACAAGATGGAACAGCGAACATTCGGATTTCTTTGTTGTTTGTCAGTGTTTCTTATTCTTCTACTATAAAGTTTATGACTACATACACTGTGATTAAATGCACAATAGACTATCGACGAAAATGGCCACCGAGACCCCGTTTTGAGTGAGAAAAAATCTACGTGATTTGTTTTTGCTCCTCAAAATATGCTACCTCACTGACACGTCCACTGTTTTGAATATCATGTTTAAATTGATAAGTGAAACATTAAACGTCATCGATGGGAGAGAATAAAATATTCTCTGAGGGACAAAATAGCTCGCGTGGTTTTCTCGCTCCAAATGAGATCTTGTCAGCCATTTAGGTGTAATGGCAATTCACGTATCACATACTATGGTACGAATACGCATGACGTAGTGTCGCATGTTTTCTATGAAGTTGTACGCCAAGCAGTTTTGTCAGTGCACATCTGTTATAGAATTAGAGAACTCCATGTACAAAATAAATTACTCAATGATATGCAGCAGGTGGGTGGTGAAATGACGTACAGCCGACTTCGACTAAGCATAGCATTTGGTCTGAATGTCACCTGGAAACAAATATATCACCAAAGCAAAACAAAATAATTTACTCTTGCCAGTCCACTTTTCTTTGTACAAATCAGAAGACAAAAACATACACAAGCACAGTGTTTTATTTCTCTTAGTAACAATGGTACGTGACGTAATATATGAGTGGGAACAAAGCTTTTAACTTTCTATACACGGGGCGGAGCTACGCCACTGGACGTTCCGCGTTGCTGAGACGCGCATCATTGTACCATGTATTTCTAAGGGCTCTGCGCGAGCTGCTGTGGAACGCCGGTCGATGAGCCGGTGAAAATAACTAAACTGGAGAAAACAGCGCAAACTCAATTTCGAAGTAATCCCTGAACAACCAAATGTATATATGTTACACACGCAAGGGTAATCTTGTTACACTGTTGAAGGGAGTTCAAACAACCATCCCAAAGTACAGTTTTCTGAGAGTTTTCAGCCTTTGTTTTCATCCTAATGGTTGCCAGACGGTGAAAATGCCCGGATGTCCGCCCCGAGGATAGTTTGAAATGTGTATAAAATATATTTATCGCTATTAAAATTCCACATATATCAAAAACTGTGTGACGTCATTTTATTAATGCATTTACAAGTTCGCATTTCTATTTTCTCCCTGAGGCAAAATAAAACATCTGTTTTGGTTTTTTTCGGCGATATTTTATTTTCAGTTATAACATCTGTATACGGAGTGGTAAGCTTATGTGCTATCTTCTGCATGTGTAACAAACGGTTTCTTAGTTTGTAAATACAATGCCTTGGAGGTTGTTTGGACATGAGCGCATTTCTAGTTTTATGTTTGCTGGGGATTTAAAATTATTTAAATATTGCGTTATATATGTTTATCTTACGACACGAATATCTGTATTGTAATCAAAGCATTGTTCATCACGTGATGTCTTGATATACCGTCAACCAGTATACCATTAAGATTGTTATATAATGCATGTACTCAAATGCCTTGAAATTGTTTCATTTTTTTAATTATTTTTTTTTTCACATTTCCAAGTAAAACTCTATACATTTATAAGTATAATCTACTAGGAATAAATATCCCCATTGACCGAAACCGAACTACGGCAATTCAATCTTATTCTTGCTAAATTTCAATATGTGCATTTACGGTATTTCATATTATTATACATCTGTCACTGTAACGCCATAGTTTACAGCGTGGCGTGAACTTGCGGCATTTTACGGTGTATTTTCATCCTACAATATTAGGAAATACGAATTTCAAATATGGAATGATTACGCGCGTAAGCGTCCTCTAATAATAAAAAATAAACATGGCTGCCACCGGACACCACACAGAGTTCGCTGATTCTGTTCTAAACTTTTCGGATTTCGGCATTCCCATGATGTATCTATCATTGGGAGAAAAAGATGTATAATAATAAGGTCACTACCTCAATGAATAACCTCATATTACGTACTTGTTAAAGTATTAAAGTTGAAAACTGAAGTAATACATGTATAACATTAATATGTTTGATATGCTATGCTGACGCGACTATTATATAATTATTATAAATAGCGATTAAACCGAAAGGGCAATCGGATATTGCGTTTAAAAATACTTCAACATCAATAATATTTGGCTAATTTTATTATGTATTCGGAGAATGATTGATACTTGCATTACAGGTCAAACAACCGATATTGTTCTGGATAATAGAAGCATCAGCGGCAGCTGCCAGTCATTACCGTACATGAGTTTTACAGGTGACGTGCCGACAAGGCGACCTAGCTTATGATGTTAATGCTGCACTGAATTTTACGCTCGCTGAACCCCCTTGCTACATGCAACATGACCGTGTAGCCACGTGACTACAACCACTAGAACAGTAACTACGGACTTTATCGTTAATTCACATAAATACTTAATTTTCTGCTTGAATATTCGTTCCCCGTCATTTAACATGTTTACTAATTGTGTTTAAGCTGTATTTACTATTGATTCAGATTGCTTATTGACAGGCCAGTCAGTAAAAATGATTTCGCCTTTCTGTCACCATTCTACCAAATTATTTGCTTTCTTAAATAGCACATTCAATATACTTTATATTAAAATATCCCAATAGTAGATGAGACAAGGCGTACACTCACGTCAAACAGCAATTCCCCACCATACAACCATCGAGGGAGGTAGTAGTGTTATGTGCGGTGGTATTACTAAGTGATTACAAAACTCGCGAACCTTTGCTCGGAAAAACACTAAAACAAATTGGAATTAAAATACTTTATTTCTTTGAAACACTAAAATTTCTTTTGGAGAAATAAAATTGCTTCTACAAGAAACATGAATACTAAATACACAATATAAGTTCAAGGTTAACGTCACGGTCATTGAACAATTCCTATACAATATTATGAAATAATAGAGTTGATTGAAAGTGAGACCTAATTGAACTTACACGCTAATAAATGGCCGCTGAGATCTCGTTGGGCGCGAAAGTCGAACTACTAGTTTTGCCGCTCGATTAGAGTGTTCTTTTCCGTCGTCATCGCGTCGACTGTTCACGAATTTCTGTAACAATTGTATTTGGAACATGACAGCAGGAAATGGAACACGATTTGAGGGGCAAAACAAATTGTCCATTGCTCCCCCTCTCAACGAGATCTCGACGGCCTTTTCCGGTTTAGGGGCGATCTATTAATGTAAGACACATTCTAAAAAAATGAGTTTGGGTGACAATAATTGTTGCTTGTTTTTTTATATCATGTTTTATTTATCATTTGTTTATTTATCTTTTATTAATTTGGTCCAAGTACTTATGCATTATAATAGTCGTATTGGTTATTGTCAGGTCTGTGAAATCGTAATGCGTTTTTTCAGCTACCTCATACAATAGCGTTTTCTTGCAAATTCAGTGTTGATCATAGAAACATAATTGGCACGCTATGTTCAAATGTGACCAGGGCAGGATTATGGAAAACTATACATTTTTATGCATCTTCAAAGGTTAAACATATTTTGGCTACCTCACACTCACATCCAACCAAAACCAAGTTAAAAGGTAAATTAGTAAAAACAAATTATATTTAAATTGGAACTAAGAAACAATTACAGAGATTAAAATAATGTACATTGGAAACGAACATAGTTTACAAAGAAGAAATTTACACTAGAATATCTTAGTATATTTCATATCATAACATAATTGCTTCATCTTCGATCTAGATCACGCTCAACCCAGTTCCCTTGATCTAACATTATCTGGTAACGGTTATTCTGAAATAAAACGGGGAAATACTAAACAATTGAGCATATACTACGATAAATTTGTAATAAAGGGAAACAGACGCTGTGTACAGTAAAGGTAGCTTGCATGGTGTCCCGAATTATTCCATATAGTCTACAATACCAACGTTTGGAATATCTCTATTATAAACATACGTTGGTCTAAATGACTATTAGTCACTTGTTAAACAGTTATTCAACAATATTTCAAATAAATGGTAATTTATCAATAGCTATGAATCGTTGTATATCGGAATAAATTAACCATGGCACTGTTTTGAACGAAATCAAATATAGCCGCCGCCACCAGCGACTTTAAAACAAATTAACATATCACTGGATTAAATAAATAATCACAAATGAATGATTGGATTCGGATTCCACTCATCCTAATACAAATGGGAAACATTCAGAAAACACTAATTTATCCAAAAATATTTTCAAACCAGACGTTGTCTCAGCCTGTTCCTAACTAACATAATTAGTAACGCCAGTTCTGAAAAAAATCAGCAAACACAAAACTCACCGCATTCCAGGCTTGGTAGTCCAATATCACAAGTATTCCACTCCTCATCGGGATTGGTTGAAAAACACCAAGCTTGGCTGCCACCATCAGGATTTCGACATGAGTTGTGATCGCCAAGTCCAGCGGCGGGGAAGTTCCCAACGTTATATCCCAGAATATTCGGTAGATCATCTGACCAGTTCATGCATGCATGGCCGTTACTAGTTGTATTAACTGTACCCCGGTAATCACTTCCATCGGGTCTAAGGTAGCATTCTGTTGGGCCTATACACAAATATATTAAATACCTTATAATTACCAGTAGTGCTAAAGTAGTACTATTTTACTAAATACAGCAGTTTTGCCAGAGTGGAGGACTATATATAGAAGATTAGTGAATAAGAGCCTCTTTACCGCGAATAGATTTATAGTGTAAATGTAACCATGGGTATTGTCTTTGAACGCGCCATGTTACAGCGGGAGGGTCGTCACCCCTGCACGCGCGCAGAAATTGAGTCCCAAGCGACGATAACAACACGCGCTAAAAACGAAAAGGCTCATGGGTAGACGTTTGTTGGTAAACAATGACACGCTATGACCATCTGACGCTAGGGTCGATTTGCAAGAGAGTGACATTGAAAGCTTTATCATTATACATAAGGTGCAGTATTACCCGGCTTGGTCGATTTGAATTACTGCGCCCTCGCCGACAAACCAAGACACATACTGTTGTTTTTTTTGATTGTCAGCGAGGCGCAGTAGCTCCCACGAAATACGCACCCACTGTTTACTATGACTAAATAGTATTCTGTATTCAGCCCAGGAACGAAACGCGAGTTGTTCTATATATAATTTGATAGTAAATTAAGTTTATCTCTGATATTTAGGTGAACGCTGAACGAACTTATGTATTCCTGCTTTTACTTAATTGGTGCTAACAATTGAATTTACTTATGCAAACATTCTTTACAGTATAGTTTGAAAAGGAAGTGTGGGTAATTTTGATATGAAATGAATTGTTTTTACAAGGTAACATATTATGTTAAAAAGAAGAAACAGGACATGAAAATAACATACCGCACAATTCCTGTCTATTCCTGACATCACACAGCTCCCAGTCATTGCTGGGGTCTCCCGAGATAAAACACCATGGCCGCTCCTCTCCATCGGGATTACGACAGAAGTTGTGGTCACCAAGACCCGCGTTCGGGTAGTTTTCTAGCGTGTAACCAGCCAATGTAACATTGGAATGCGTCCACCGTCGACATTCACGCAACGATTGTGTAACGTGGACAGAACCTCGATAGTCATTCCCATTTACCGCCGTGTAGCACTCCGTTTCTCCTGTAGAACAACAAGAAAGCTAATATTTTGTGCTGACACGTTATCAACATATTGATCATCGTCCGCCCGCATGGTGTTGTTTCGATCGGACAGTGCAGTGCTTTGCCGGAAAATTCACCTTGAAAATAGGATGCTTATGTTACGTGATTGATAAATTGATTGCCTATTTTGAGTCAAATTTGTACTAAAATTTAAGGAACAACTAAAAGATTAACAAACCACAGTTTTCCGTCGGCTGACCAACGTCACAGTACTGCCACCGTATATCGGGATCGCTTGTGAAACACCAGGGGGCGTCATCAAAGTCGGGATTCCTACAATATCTATGGTCCCCAAGACCACCTTTCGGGTAGCGGCTTGTGCTATACTCGTGCGTATGTGGGGACTGTTCTGACCATTTTTGACACAAAGTTCCGTCTGTGGTTATGTCAACTGTTCCAAAATAGTCGGTACCATCTCGTTTTAAGTAGCATTCGTAAAGGCCTAGAAGATGGTAATAAAAGAAATGATGTATCGATTACAGTATTCGTTTTATGGCGAACACAAAACAACCCGATCAATGTGGAAGTACAAATGACAATATTACATGTATCGCTGGATTGGCCGATATCACAATATTGCCAGTCAATGTCGTCATCCAAAGTAATACACCAAGGTTGATCATCGCCATCAGGGTTTCTACAGTAATTATGATCCCCGACTCCAGCATCCGGGTAGTTTTCCGGGACATACGTATGAAGCCACGGAGATTGGTCTGACCACATTTGACACTCCAGTCCACCTATAGTAACGTTAACACCGCCTCGATAGTCCTCTCCGTTATAACTGGAATAGCACTGCCTCGGTTCTGACGTTCATAATAATAAAAACAATTGTTAAAAATGCAACATAAACAAATGCACACACCAGGTTTCATATAAGAGACACTTGGAGGTGAAATCATTTAATTTCACATTCAGGTTGATTGATGATGTACTTTCCAACATCAAAAATCCTTCTAAAAATAATTATCGTTCTATGATATAACCACCTGAACTTGAAATCAAAGAAACCACAGAATTGAGTTCTTCTGTCTCATACTTTGATTTACGCTTTGAATTTGAAACCTGAAGGTAACCCTTCTAATGGATTGTATGACTTTCATATGGATATAATGATTTTGGGAAACGTCATAGACATCTACCTTTCAAGCTGTTTAGTCAGTGAGTGAGTTGGTTACAAATTACGACGAATCATCTAGGCAGATGATCTTTGATTAATCAACATTTCATTTGTTGTATATATGCAACAAATAGGGCAGGATGTGATCACTCCTTTGCGAATACCTGATATCACTTCTTGGTCTTACTATTGTGGTCCATATATAATTCTTTTGTACATTAATTTGTGTGAATGCTCCGAGTCTCATCATTTGCTTTCGTGTAGCACATTAATTTCTGTACACATTGTCTTATGCATGTGTGTAAATGGACTTGGTCCCATGTATATTTTGTATATGTTCATTGTGCTTTGTTGAAAACCTGATACAACTATTGATTTCCGATTATTTGATGGGTATGTTAGTGCTTCTCATTTTCATCGAACAATCATATGTATTTTTTATTTCGTATGTGAAATAAATCAAAAAGTGCTGTTTCATGTACTACTACATATTCTATGTTAATATAATAATAATAATAATAATAATAATAATAATAATAATAATAATAATAATAATAATAATAATAATAATAATCTATATCTATGCTTGAAGTTAGTTTGTTAGTATAGTCGACATGCATATTTAGCAGGTGTATATTATTTTGTTTCCCAAAAAAGTATTATGGAAATTATCTTTTGAAATGTGCGTTACATATGCAGTAGATAAATATATTAATAAAGAATTGAATTCCTGAATGAGCATGAGTAAACCAAATGTATGGACATGTCTATTACAATACCGAAAACGCCATTATAACGGAAATTATATCAGTATACTAATTGTTCAACAAAGGTTCAGTTATATAATTTATATTTTGTAGTTGGCGACACACAACACAAGATTAACGTACATTTTCTGTGATGTTTTACATAGGTGTGTTCCTAACTCCAAATAAAGATTTCTAGAACACTTGGCCTTGAACGGCTTTGAATTTACATACAAATACATTTACATACAAATATATATATATATGAAGTGACCCGGTCTTTGAAACTATTTATTTGTGCGACATTCGTACATTGTATTTTCAGGGTTTGACTTTCTCCTTTTTACTTCAGACAAATAAAAATGAAAGTGTTATTTTTTATCAGTCAGCCATCAGTAATTCTTCATGTGCGACATTCTTATGAAGTTTTAAGCAAACCTTCTTTCTATTCTATTCTATTCTATTCTATTCTATTCTATTCTATTCTATTCTATTCTATTCTATTCTATTCTATTCTATTCTATTCTATTCTATTCTATTTCTCAATCAAGCACTGGTCTTACCGTGACAATCGTCTCCAACTCCATGATGGCAAACACAAGTGCATTTGGGTCCGACATACCCGTCTGCTCCACAGTACGGAACATCCGTTCCACAGTGTTCTGTAATTAACATGATATGAGCAAGAAATCAATCACAACTAATTAAGTAGTGCATTACAGAGTATATGTCAAACTACTAAATGGTGTGCATGTTTGTTTTAATGATATATCATATTACAACTGTAGTGGCATCACGTGTCTGGTGTTTCTAACAGAAGTCATAGACTTATATATGGTGCTTCATGAACACAAAATATGTGTGAGAGTCACCACTAAAAATCTAACATAAAGTCACTCAGGACTTACATGGACTTAATATGAGAGGAAATTTCCAAAGTGAAATTCCTACTGCATAACTATAGGATAATTGACGCTCAAATTCAAATTCCTATTACGATGTGTTCGGTGCCATACATATAATTTGTATTTCACAAATAGATTGGTCATGGGAGTGTATACTCAGCAAATATCTTGACTGACGAAACAACGCTCAAGTAAACATGAAGTCAACTAAACACACACGTTATGATGAAACCGTCTGTCGACTTAATATAAGAAATCGTTCGTTTACGGCGAACCCTAAAAAGCAGAATTCCGGAATTCTGGCTGGAATCCGGAATTGCATTAAAACATCACATTCTTGCCAAATACATGTATTCTGTACTCAGACCGAATTGCAGCCGCTATGTCGGATTCCAGCAGGAATCCGTAATTTCGGCGGGAATTCCGGGTTCCGTCGAATAGGATTTGCCATCGTTTACATTTAACACGCGCGCCTGCGCAGTGACAGGTGGCAACACAAATAGTTCGCCTGGTAATAAATTGATTGTTCAGTTTGCTGCCGCTGACATTCAGTGTACATGTATCTGTCCCTGTTAATAAAACTACTATGAGAATCATTACCATAGGAGATAGCGAGCGACGACATATATGCCGTTCTCCTTCGAATATTTTTAATATCTTCACTTTAATAAGAATTAAAGTATCATTAAGCTGTAACTACCAATCTTTTTTACAAATTGACAACCATTTTTTTTAACAAAACATTTCTTTTTTTGTTAGCGCCACTTTAGTAACGGTCATCACTGAAATGTGGATACTTAAAGCATAGCATACACGCCAATCCGGTACATTAAATCACCTGCAAGTGAACAAAGATGGCCGCGTGGATGTGTCCAGATCTCCAGAGGGCGCCATATATTGAAATCCAGTTTTGTCAAGCGAACCTCGGGCGAAATGTCAAATGCCTCCCCATGACGGTTTTAGAATGAGGATTTTATGAGTTATTTCATATGAGTAACAATGTTCTACGGTCCCCCAACACGTGACCGATTTCAACACAATGATGTCTACTCGACCTTTATTTTTCCGCAGCTCATTTTATGTGACATTAGTCTTGTGCAGGGTCACTTTACCGTGTATTTGTCTAAAACAATAATTTCCTAAAATTTGGCCATCTTTATGTGATTACAAAAATTGACGCTTTAACTAGATTTTATCTATATTTTGTTCTATTATTTGAAATTAATCATTTCGGAGTTCGGAGACAGAAAAGGTCAAATATTTATTTATACACATAAATATATTCTGTTTATTCATCGAAAGAATTTTTGTGATTATGAACAGATTAATATTTCTGCTGGGCGACGATTATTTATTTACGTTGCCCTAGATTGATGTTCTCGGAAGCCTATCCCTTTGGTTTTTTTAATTCGAGGGCACATATATCACAAGGTGCATCTCGTTGTCGATAAACTAGCTCCATATCCGTCTAGAAATTGCGCCCTACACATGCCAATCACGTCACAGCATGGTATCCTACGGACGATATAGTACTCACCGCTACATTTGTACATAGTGTTAGCCAGCTTGATATCGCTAAACGTCAGATGATCACGTTGTCCCAATTTTGATAAATCATCCTCATTTACTGTTGTTATGGTGGGCTCTTGATTGGTACTGAAAAACTAAACAAAGTCAACATAAATGTTTCCAACAAAGCCATCAAACCTGAATCAGTGTGCTCTCCGTTATGAAGAAATTCGTCCACAGTATCGCATAAATGCAATAGTTAAACACATATGCCCTATGTGATAATCATTGATTTTTGTGCACAATTTAAATAAATAAATAAATAAAAAATAAAAAAAATAATTGAAAAAATAAATAAAAATAAATAAATAAATTAATAAATAAATAAATAAATAAATAAATAAGTAAGTAAGTAAGTAAGTAAGTAAGTAAGTAAGTAAGTAAGTAAGTAAGTAAGTAAGTAAGTAAGTAAGTAAGTAAGTAAGTAAGTAAGTAAGTAAGTAAGTAAGTAAGTAAGTAAGTAAGTAAGTAAGTAAGTAAGTAAGTAAATAAATAAATAAATAAATAAATAAGCGAGCGGAAAAACGAATAAACAAACAAACGTGAATACATAAATAAATCAATTTACATGTGATCCGTAATGCATGATTGATGATATATCGTAGTCAATGCCATATGTATCAACATCATTGGTAGTGTACTTTTTGAAGTTTCCCTCATAACCAGGCTTGATGTTTTCTGTATGAATTCGAACATAGTTATCTCTGTCTGGTCGACTTTGCTCATGCCAAAATCCAATAACATGACCAAGTTCATGCGCTATGGTTCCTTTCTGTGTACAAGATAAATAAGAACGGAACATATTCGGCAGAATAAGTATGTGACGATAGAAACTAGGAAATGCACGTTGCAAAATCAAGCTTTGCGAATTGCGTACTAGTATCGGAACGTAAATCGTGCAATGGGCGCTTTCACATTATGGTATATAAGCTTCGTTGTCACTCAGGCCCTAACATTTTTGATTACTCACTGCTTGATGATTTTAAAAAAAACCCCGCAATATCTGTGTTTCAATTCATCAGTTAGAGAAGAAATTTAAAACTAGAATAGATGTTATAATAATTTAAATTATGCACAATATATATGCCACGTATTTATCTTTGAAAACGGTTTTTTATATCGCTTGTTTTTATTCCAAAAAAATCTGATGTACCAAATACTTGGACTCATAAGTCGGGGCGTTCTGTTCTGTAGATACCCAAGAAGCAAGCATTGTGGGAATATTTTGCAGGAAACAAAACCGGACACTAGAATTTATTTAGGTTTCAACAATCCTGACAAATTCCAGAACACAAAGCTCTGTGTATTGTCATGCAACGCATTTTCGAATTTCGTGTAAATAATAGCTCGCATGAGAATAATGTCAGACACGGTGACGCATGCGCAGTGTGCGCGGCCATTTAAATAACGCTAATGGTGATAAGTTGATATCAGTAATAGTCGTTATATAATCTCAGTCGATCGAAGATCTGTAACATTTCAAACTTGCAAGGTACTTACAAATTGACAACCATTACCAATAGAGATATCTTGAGGCCCATGTATATTGACAACACCGATGTAAGAATAACACCTATAGATGAAAATACTTATTACTATACTGGATTTTATCAGGAAATAACAAAAAACAGCAACAAAAAACAATGTACAAGGTCAAAACATACAAGCTCATTTTCACGATTTGATGGGGGAAGATATAATATTTAGAGTAAAAGTGGTTTCGATTTCGGTACACACTGGCATGTGTATAGGGTATTTATGTATTCAGTAGAAATCCATCCATACATAGAAAGTAAACAGGGCCCAATAAAACCACATTCAAATCTACACTACAAATACTTTGGGGTATGGATTTTATGGAAATTGTTTTATTTCATGTGAAATATACTTACAGCAGGACGTCTCACACGCAGCATGCAACATTGCAACAATATGTTGCTACAACTGTCATGCGATCCCACGTCATTTACACGAATTCAGTTGAACGAGAACATATTAAAATAATGATTTCTGTGTAACGTTCGTGAATTGAATATTAATGCAAATGTAGTTCATGTAATTTGAAAATGGTTTAAGGCAATATGTTTTGGGTATATGCTGTCCACACGTGGAATTATATTAGTTCTTATAAAACAATATTTTGTATTCAATTATAATAAAAAGCAATTTTGAATGGATTTCATATGTTTCTACTAAAATTACTTTTACCTCAAAAAGTTCTACAAATACGTGAATCCAAAAAATGTGATACATTTGCAGAAATGCTTGTCGTACCATGATTCTAATTTACAAAGTTGTTAATCGAGTGATGCTGCCACTCTTATATCACGCATATAACATGGACATTTTTTTGCGTTTTGTAGAATATCATATAAATAGTATTTATTCGTTACGTAAGTAAGGTCACACATCTATCTTGATTGCAGTATTCACGATAACCAGATGGTATTGATAAACATAGCATTGCATGAAGTCTAATCAGTCTCGGCTGTGAAACCCACGATATCAGCAGAAAGTTTACTGTATTATGTTATGATTTTTAATTTTGCTGACAACGAATCTTGTAAAGAGGGATTCTCTAATGAACTTCACAGATATGTGCACTGAACGCACGTGAGTTCCATAAATCATAACATACTGCATTTAATATGAATATTCAGAGTTTAGGAGATATATGCGCGTCATGTATTTTCTGATACTGAATACGTACCCGTCACCTCTAATGAAGTTCACTCTTGCATGGTGACCAAGTGAGTTGCCAAGTTCAGTGTTATATTGTTGAAATCTAAGACAGGTTTTTGATTCCCAGTATCTCATGGTCTCCAATATAATGTCGGAGAAAACTAAGCCTGCCAAAAACATGTCAATATTAGTATCTAAATGTACAGTGTGAATATCATGTTCACATGTGATGAAGTGCAAGTACAGGCAAATTACGTAATATGAACACGATACATAAGAGATTCACGAGCACAGTAGAGCGCCACGTCACTGTAACTGTCCCAAAAAGGAAGTTTCTAAATAGCTTGTATTGTCAGATTCACTCCTGCGATAACTATGATGAGATACATGTTTCTGCTTCTATTTACTCAACTTAGAACCACCTCTGAAATAAAGATGGTGGAATAGCCATTCCTGCTACATAGGAGATTAACGAAATCAGTAAAGGGCCACGTCGCTGTAACTGTCCCAAAAAAGTAGCTTCGAAATAGTCTGTATTGTCAGATTCACTCCTGCTATAATGATGATGGGAGACATATTTCTTCTTCTATTTACTCAACTTAGAACCACTTCTCAAATAAAGATGATGGAAGACCCACTCTTGCTACATAGGAACACAGTAAAACGCCCCCCCCCCCCGCAGAAGGTTCGAAATAGCTTGTATTATCAGATTCACTTTTGCGATAAAGATTATGGAGACATATTTACTTAGAACCATTTCTCAAATAAAGATGATGGAAGACCCATTCCTGCCATAAATACTATAGAAAAGAATCAGAACTACTTCAGCTAAACATGAAGGGAGATCCATTTTTGCCCTTACAAACTCAACGTCAGAACTACTTTTAGCTGAAAATGGTGTGGTCATATCACTGTCGCTGATTACTCAATGTAAAAAAAAAAACATTTTAAATCGAATAGGCTGTACACACAATCGTCGTCTATGCTGATACTTTATTTGACTTAAAATTACTTACAGCTTTGAGAAATCTCATATGGAACGATAGCTTGTGTCCAGAGGCTGGAAAGATCAGCCACCGCCTTTCGTTTTACAACTCCAATCCTCACTCTATTTCCAAGTATTTCATGAAGTGTTTCATTTTGTTCTTGTGTTAGAAGAATGTCAGCTTCGAAAGTATTTAGTGAATAAATTTCCTCAGGAGGCTGATGTTGCAGTTTCTGGAGCAGAAAAAAATGTAATTGAAAATTCTCCAGTGATTTATAATTGCAATTGATTCAAAGCTGAGATAGTTGTATAGGAATTGATGTAAGTAATACATTACATGGTTCTACACAATACTATTGCGGTTTAATTTAACTAGATGACACACTAATTAGTATATGTTTTCACTCTCAATATATATATGCCAACTTAACACACCATGAGTTCAGGATATTTTGTCAATAAGTAACTGTGTTATACATCTAATTTCCATGCCATTTATATATGTGTTAGTTCAACATAGTGTCTGTGTATAAAGTGTGTGTCAGTTTACGCATGCGTCATTTGTGTATGGTGTATTAAGATATACATCTTATTCATAAATCTAATTGCCCTCTTTCAGTTCTAGAAAAAAATAACTCATCATCCGTAGTGCAGTGATTATTGCATCGGTAGACCAGAGTTGAAATTCTAGCAACAACAAAAACGGTTTTCCCTAGAATTGGCAAGTGTGCCGCATACAAAACAGGAAGCGCACAGCCACTATATATCTGCAATTCGTCAATGGGAGAAAACGATGACATTCAATTGCCTTGCACAAACATATTTTGAAGACATATGCAACTGTTCAACATATGTCAATGTGTTTTATTATTATATTATTTTATTCTTTAATTGTACAATATGTTCTAGGTAACTCAGAAGTGATTGCGATAATTCTACTAAGTTGTTTAGGGTGTACAGTCGATTCCTACATACCCTAAATGTACGTTACATGTTTATTTCAATGATAAAGAAAATCACGTCCTTACCTGTTGTGTAGCGCAGTGTACATTTAATATAACACTTAACACGACTACCGAAAACACTGGTTTACATGAACGGATCATACCACTGCTTTGTGGGATATCAAGAAAAACAACTTGAAGAGGGATATCTATATTGGGAAAACACATGTGATCATATGTTGTTATAATCTGATGCATTATGGGATAACCTGTAGTGAACCATAAAAATGTAGGCGATGCTTATAATTTATTATTCGAAAAATGTGTAATGTGAATTATTATTACTCCCTTCCCTGTTGTAGTAATGACGGCCCTTCAAGTATCTTTAATACGTTCTTTAACTACTCGGACGATGTTTGTATCTGAGCTGACCTTGTGTAATGGTTGCCTTATATGTCATTCAGAGGTGAACAGTACGTCATATTCAAAATGAATGACGTCATATTAAAAAAAAAAAATATGTTACTCAGTTGACAATTTGCTCAGTTTGTTTGTTTGCAATCATATTATATTTGCATTACAATTATTTGGGGTAATTCGAAACTGTATTTAATCATATTTCAAATTTCCATTTTTGATTCACAGCCAGACATTTTCGGGGACGTGTGCCATGTCAACAAGTATCATACGAACGAGCTATTATTTAAAGAGGATATTATCATTATATGATAAGATAAAATTGTCAGTTGAACTAATCAAATGGTCCAAATTATCTGGTTATTTGAAATCAGCGCACAGCCTCAGCAATGAAGCATTATTTACATAGGAGGCCAAATGAATATTCACCCTAACGTGTGTTGTCCGAAAAGCGGAAGCTCCATATTTTCTTTCATCAAATTTTAACATAACTATAATGTATTAATTAAAAAAATAAATGTATTTACCGCTAATGATACAGCAATGCAAGAGAATTCAAACAGCTATGGTGAAATGGCGAATGGCTGCTGTTGCACTGAGTTCTTCTACCTGTATTTTTAGGGAATTTACAAGGTTTATTTATAGACCGTTCTGATGTGGTTTCCACAAACAGTCTCAATGTACTCTGATGCACAGCCACCAATCACATTACTCTAAAGATAATTTATGTTTATTTTTTGTATTACGGGTTATGGTAGCTTAGTCTCAAAAGATGAACCGCACCAGGTTGAAACAGACAAAGATATCACAATGATGATATTGATTGCTTATGGGTGTTAATTTCATCAAAGTATTTACATCTATATAGAGTAGAGACATAAATGTTACTATTTTATTTTAATTACCGTACGATGTAATCCCTTATTTAAAATAAGTAAACAAGACCAGCTAACTGACAACAACAAACATGGACAATATGAATATTAATTGTATGACAGTTATAACTCTCGGGGACTACAATTGCACTCTCCATGGATAGCAATGTCAAATCTTGAAAAGCTGTTTCGCACTTAAAACCAATGAGTCAAGAACCTACATTTTCACACAAAAATATAAACAGTTTTTGTCTAGTTTTTAAAATATAGCAATTACAAATCCACAAATAACATCGATTTATAATACAAATGGTATTGGAAAATTAGAATGTTGACCCACCTTGTTCTAAATATATCAGTCCGCCACTTCAAATCTAGTTCCAATAAAAAAACCTTTGCTCATTCTGGTATTCAGTTTAAAATATAAGCGTGCTTTTCAAAACGTTGAGCTTCCTTGATACAAGTAAATCATATATTATTCATTTAATTGTTATTCGCAACTAGTATATGATACATTTATTTAGAATAATAATAATAATAATAGTTCATACATGATGTAGTCTACTTTGAAAGACCAAGGAATCGTTTACAATGCCCAAGTGGAGATATTCACTATATGCTAAATTTCACTTCACCCATAAGTCATGAGTATAATTCTGCTCTCAGAGAGATTGAAATAAATACAGGGCTTCAAACACTGCAAATAGAAGTGTGCATGGAATCATGGGAAAAATATGTGTGCATCGCCGTGTGATAACTGTCATAAAGGTGATTGACAGGAGATACTTGTTTTCAACTCTTGAAGGACAGTTGGAATCTACTAGGTGTGCTGTTATGTTATGTGGATAACAAAAAATGTTTATGATTTACTGAGTTGCCTACGTGACAAAGCTGATAGCAAGATCACATTCTGATTGGCTCATGCGGGAACCTAGGTGGTGTCACTGAATATGGGCCATTTATGCCTATAAATTGGACAGACTGATGACAGTTGGGGGTCCATCAATTTTACTGTGTATCCTGTGTGTAGCTGCTACGATATTGTAAGACAAGTGATACAGGCTTCAACCATCATTCTGTGAGATTTGTATGAACTGCTCTGCGATCTCCTGCTTCCAGCGGTGCCCTCCAGAATAACAGCGTTTCTCTGCAAGAAATATTTCTTCGTTGTTGTCTAAGGTGCAGAGCCATTGAGCCATTGATTCGATTGTGATTCGGATTCGGTTTGGGATTTGAATTCGGATTTTAATTCACTTTCGAGATGGATTCTTTCTTAAATAATCCCCTGACTAAATTGACTGTTTCGTAACTGCTCAAGGTCAGACCAGCTAGGTAAACATTAAAACTAATTATCACAAAAAACATTGATTTTTTTTGAATATCCGTCCACTTTATATAATTTTGCAGAGTTTTTTTGTGTGATTTCATGAGACTGGTAAATTTTAAGATGAACAGTTTCTGTATAATTAGAGTAATGTTAGGTTTTTCATAGCATGAAAAGAATACATGGCAAGCGTCAAATTCAACTTCTTCCAAATGCGCCCTAGATGCAATTAGCCGTAGAGATCGAGAATAAAAGAGCCAGGAAGCTTGTTTTTACACTCCACCCCACCAATATATATTTTCAATCGCCATCATGTCCACACTTCCAAATGCCACAGTTAGATAGATCAAAAGAACGATACACGCAATGAGAGTATAAAACATTATTTCGTTGGCAAGTTACATCTACGCTTTGGCTAAAATTCACACTTTTACACGATTTGTCTACTTTTCATCTACTCCTTGTCTACTTTTCATGCATGTTTTTTTTCTTTTTCGTCTACACTGTTTCTGCATTTCAACTACTTTTTTTGTCAACTGTTTATCCACGCTTTGTCTTTATTTCATAGTATATTGTTGCGAGCACGCTTATCGACAGGCTAGTACATACGAGCCAAATATTCTTTTTGAAACGATGACGTAAGAGCTCGGTACAGAAAAAGATACACAACAAGAATCTGCTGAAGAAGTGTGTTATTCTGTTCTTCAGCTACATACACGTATACAGTTTTAGTAGAAATGATAGACGTCAGGAAAACATTGAGGAAACAAGCGTAAATGCCGACAAAATGTTGGTTTGTTGCTATCGCTGCTTATGAAACATCCGACGCGGAAGCGAGAATCTGCGCCAATATAAAAGAGAATGATCAAAACAACGCAAGACGAACCCAAGTAGGATTCGTAGAAAACACTGTATACGAACTCGCAATAGCAACATTGAAAGGGAATTCACAGAAAACGGAGTCTATGAACCTGGACCACAACTCTGACAAATCTCTAAAAGGAATTCGTTGGAAAAATTATCGATCAAACCGGAGATCTAGACGGTATTCATATCTCCGGCCAGAAAGGGATTATGGGATTTCTTTTCAATTTATATGATTACACTTAAAGAAACATGCATTACAAGGTTTTCCTTATATTTATAAATTGTCTATGCTATGCTTGACATGACGTATCTAATACCAAATACGTAAAAGCACGGCAATATATAATGTCACGTGTCATGTTTTATGATTAGTGCTATTTATGATTATTCTTCAAGATAGTGGATGTGATTCCATGCGTGCGTTGAAGTTCCACTGTTTGTTTCCATACCTGCTGTTCCAACGTTCTGGTATGTTCTTGCTTATCACTATTAAATGTCTGAGACTATAAGCTGTGTGGCATTTACCTGGTCTGAAAATTTGTAGCCTCATCTCCTTTCGACATTACATTGTCAATTGTTCCATTAAAAATGCCCGACGTTGTAATCAATCAGCTATTTTCAGCAAGATGGGTGTTCTACCGAAGGATATACGAACATTGTGCACAGACAATTTTGAGAACAATGATGAGAACGCCAAGAAAACGTTGCACGGGCTTGTCGACGATGGTTCATGCGGTCGTCTGAAAAAAACGGCAAGGGCAAAACAATAAATTCAACATTAATGATATTGTTAATCTTATTTACAAGACTGATCCCTATGTTATGCCATAATGGCGTTGAATCTTTCTAAATTACCCCAAATGGATATATCTTGTGTCGAAGTCAACCATGCTGAAAGAATTCCGCACATTTCGTGAAGAATTGTCGGGAATAAAAGGTAAACTTCACTTGTCGAGTGGCAATGTGATTATGATAGATGAAGTATTAAACTCCGCACAGAAATAATCGAATTGAAAGATCATTATAAGAAAAGTACTGATTCGAAGAAATGCAACTCAATTGATGTACCGGGTGTTGCTAAGCAACCACAGTCACCAAGTGATAATGTTGCTTCGCGTGACACCATATCAAATGAAAAGTCGCAAACAAGACGGAGGTGAATGCAGTAGTCACAGGGTATTCGTCATAAATTAACGTTCACATCTGTTGATAGTGATGGTAATTTCATTCAGGATCTTCATAAACAAAGGCATCGTAGAACAAAGCATATCATTGGATCTACTAATGCCGATGACCACTTGCTGAAAGTGAATGGGACTCGTTCATCGCTTGTTTCTATGAGTAGACCTAATACCACTGCGCAAGTAGTCGAAGGTCACATTAATAATAAACTGAAAAGTTGAATACGAAATTAAACTCGTATTCTTCCTTTTTTTATTGAATTATCGAGTAATTATTTCCCCAAGCTGCTTGATGCTTCGGTTTGACCTTCCGGAAGTACTATAAAGCAAAATAATAATGTCACTCAGCATAGTTTCATATAATTGCCCGGATGTCAAATCGTCAAGAAGTGCCATTAAGGAACTCTGCAATACCCACGATATTGTTCTATTGCAAGAACACTGACTCACTCAAACTGCGTATTCTATCAAATATACGCTATCAGTGTTATGCCTCGGGTACCACGTCTGTGATCGACAATGGTAGAATGATCGTTCGTATGGTG